CCTCAGTAGCATGGGAACTAGCGCAAAGAATCACCAACTGGTATCTCATTTCATTAAAAAGCTTCTGTACTGCAAAAGAAACCATCAACAGAACTAAGAGAACCTACAATGTGGGAAAAATTTTTATGAGCTGATCCTCTTCTCAGACAAAGGCCTGTTATCTAGAATATATAAAGAACTCAAAAAAGTCAGTCCCCCCAAAACATAAAGACCCAATTCAAAAATGGGCATCTGAAATGAACAGACATTTTTCAGAAAAAGAAGTAAAAGCATCAAGTAAATATATGAAAAAATGCTCCACATCACTGGTCATTCGAGATATGCAGATGAAAATAACACTGAGATTTCACCTCACCACACAAAGAATGGTTGCTATCAAGAAATCAACCAGTAGCAAATGTTGGTGGGGCTGTGGAGAGTAAGAAACCCTTCTCCATTGTTGGTGGGAGTGCAGACTGGTGCGACCACTGTGGGAATCAATATGGAGATACCTCAAAGAGCTCAGACTAGAGGTTCCATTTGACCCAGTCATCCCTCTGCTGAGTATCTTTCCAAAAGAATTAAAAGAATCATACCTGTTTATAGTGGCACAGTTTGTAATAGCTAAATCTCGGAAAGAACCCATTTGACCATCAGTTGGAGACTGGATAAAGAAGATGTGGTTTTTCTCTAAAATGGGATACTACTCAGCCATAAAGAATGAGAAATTAGAGTTATTCATAGGAAAATGGATGCATATTTTGGTTCTACTCTTTAGTGAAATAAATAAGTCATGCATGTGTAATTATTGAATAGTTTCTCTGGTGTGAAAAACTGTAATTGTAAATAAGATCCTAATGGTATAATTGATAATGTGTAATAGGAAGAAAAGGGCTAAAGGTGTAGGGGAAGTGAGAAGGGTAAGGGAAAGGAAATAAGGGAAAAGAAAAATGTATGAGAAAATGGAAATAAAGTGTTTGTAAATGGAGAGGGGAGGAGGGGGTGAAGGGAGGGCATGGACAAGGGGAAAAAATGAGAACCAAGACCTGTCATGTAAAGGTACAAGATTCCAGTGATGAATGAAACTGTACAGTATACCTAAAATGTACCAATAAACTCACTGAGTAATTAAAAAAAAAACTTTTGTACAGCAAAATAATAAATTAGTAGAGTGAAGAGACAAGCTGCAGATTGAGAAGAAATTTTGCCCCTCACTCCTCAGACAGAGGACTGATGTCTAAAATACATAAAGAACTCAAAAACTTCAACCATCTAAAACTAAAGACGTTGTCTTGAAAAAGCAAGTGAAGAAAAGCGCTAAAGGTGTAGGGGAAGTGGGAAGGGTGGGGGAAAGGAAATATGGGAAAAGAAAAATATGAGAAAATGAAAAAATGGAAACAAGTTTCTGTAAATAGGGAAGGGAGGAGGGGATGAAGGGAGGGAAGGGGTATGAGGAAAGAAATGAGAACCAAGACCTGTCATGTAAAGGTACAAGATCCCAATGAAGAATGTAACTGTACTGTATACCTAAAAAGTACCAATAAACTCGAGGAAAAAAAAGAAAGAGCAAGTGAAATGAACAGACATTTCACAGAGGAAGAAGTACAAATATCCAACACATATGTGAAAATATGTTCTCTATCTCTGAGAGATCCAAATTTTAAGAAATGCTATGATTCTATCTTATTCTGGAAAGAATGGCATTCATCAAGAAACCAAAATAATAGTGCTGGGGGTTCCGCTCAGTGGTGCTGCTGCCTGCTTTGCAAGTGCAAGGTTCCGAGTTCAATCTCTGGTACACACAAAAAAAAAAAAAAAAAAAAGAGAGAGAAATCATAATATAACAAAATCTGGTGAGGCTATGTTAAAAAAAAAAAGAACCTTCTTACTTTGTTGCTGGTAATGTAAAATGGTACAGTCATTATGGAAATCAGTATGGAGATTTCTTAAAAAATAAAATTAGAATTTTCATATGACCCAGCTCTTCCCCTTTAGGTATCTTTCCCAAAGAGCTTAAGACATAGTATTACAGCAAAGCATGCATACAAATGTTTAGAGCAATACAATTCATAATAGCAAAATTCTGGAAGCAACCTATGTGTCCATCAGTAAATTATTTGATAAAATGTTTTATCTAAATACAATTGAACAGTAGCTGACTGCAAAGAAGGAGAAATGTAAGTCACTTGTAGGAAAATGAATGCACCTGAAAAATATAATTTAGTGTGAAATAAATCAGACACATCGAATACCATATGGTATGTCTGATTTGAGTAAGGTGAAGCAGAAAAATAAAAGAACGGCAGAACAAGGGAAGGGCATGGACCCTGTGTACATGGCAAGGGGTCCGGCATATCAAGGGCAAGGGGTGACAGAGGCGATGAGGAAATGGGTAGAGTGAAGATATTCCATGTATGTGGACTTTGTACCCCATAAATAGGAAAGAAAATTAATAAAACTAACAAGAGTGAAAAGTTGAAAAGGAGACAGAGGAGGGAAGAGGCTGGGAGAAGGAAGGGGATTTAAAAGATGAAAAATGCTGTAATATGTACATGTATCAATCCCCCCAAATATAAAATACATTACTGAATGCAGGTACTAATAAGACAAAATTATAAAAACAAAAAAGAATTGAAGATGAACAATAAATATAAATTTCAATTAGACAAAATATCTGAGAATTGCTATAATCTGCAGTGTTGACATCTGAAAATATCAAAATCTGTGAAGTACAGAATTTAGTGTAGAAATTACAGAATATTGGAATCGGAAATATAAAATCCAAAACTGCAATTCCTATCAGAAAAAAAATGACAAAATTTTAGAGTGTGGCTTTTGGGATCATGATTAACATGATGATTTATCTGGGGAAATTTTTATTTTATACCTTTTCATAAATATAAAACCTTAGCAAGTCAGTTCAGAAATATTCTCCAACTAACATAAGACACTGATAATTATTTTTGAATTTTGTATATACAGTGATATCAATTTGTTGGAATAGAAAAGTTGGATAAAATGGTTTTGGATTAATCTCATAAAAATACTTGAACTGTGTATCATGGTATATCAAGTAACTGCAGCTATAAAGCAGGGTGCAACCCATACTGCCTCTTGTTTTCTCTAAAGTAGAGCTGTACCAAGAAATTAGGGGGCATTTTGTCAGATTGTTAGGGAGACCTCTTCACCTTGAAGCCCATGCTAACCCACTGAGTATGCCCAGGAGATTGTGTGAAGGTAAAAGATGTTATACAGAGAGCCGACTTAAGACATCAGGAAGACTCCCTTAAAATATGTATTCTGGAGACGATTTTAGGGACTAATACTAGAATTGACTAAGGAGATGGAATTTTTTTCCTTCCCTTAGGGAGTTCTTTAAAAATGAACATAAAGAAAATATAAGATACAAACACGAAACTTTCTTTTTGGTGTATGTCTTGTACCATGAATAACTACTTCAAAGATAATGACACATTTTTAACTATTGTTATTCTCTCATCTTTTGTTACAAAATTTTATTTTATTTATTTTTTCATAAAAGAATAAAGAAAACATAATTATGATGAAAGTGATTAAATTATATCAACTTCTGTGATATTAATAAGTCCACTGGGTAGATTCAGCTTTTAAAGCAAAGAACTTAAAAGCTAGCCTGTTGGCAATCTTTACAAGCAGATCTCGTTTGGATTTTGTGCACTGATGAGGGAATCTCTGGGAAATGGACTTTTGAAGGCTTCAGGGTTTACTAGGAGCCAAGGGTTTCTTGTTATGCTTTTCATACTTGTGTAAAAGTGCACAGCACCTGAAGACCCAACCACTCCCCCAGTGGGATGGTTCTGCTTACTTTGAACCAAGCTTAACCCTAGAAGAGTGACTTGTTTTATTTTCTCACTTCTGGCCCAATACACTCCATAATGACTTGCCCTGCTTTGTTTATTCTTTGGTCAGTTTTGGGGGCTCATTTGGGGTGCTCCAAGGGGAAATAACTCTTCATTATGTTCGTACCTGCTCTCCTGAAACTGCTCGAGGGAACCAGCTGATGTGTTCTGACCAGATGATTGATGCTCATCATAGTGGAGATAGAAATCAGTGAGTGTTTAAGCAAATATATGCAAATTTTAGCCTCTAATTTGACTTCACTTTTGCTTGTGAAGGTACTGTATCTTTTAGCGCCTCCCATAACTTTGCTCCCCTTGGTGAGAAACAATTATTAGTGACATTTTGTTCTAAGCTCTCCCTTTCCCTGAAATGAGTGACCATATGTGGCCTGAAAGAAGGGGAGCAGAAAAAATGTGGACCACATATCTTGTTTGAGCCCCTCTGGGCCTCTTTCCACAGATGCTCTGGAAATACATGCACATGCCAAGACATGCTAATCCTTGTAATGTCCATCAAATCAAATCTTTCTGTAAAGGTAACGGATATGTTTTTCCCCTCCTCGGTGGTAAGTGAGAAGAAAATTAGATTTAAAAGAAATTTTATTAAAGAGACTGTTTTAACAAGAACACCCCAAACTTAGGATATACAAGTATTTCAAAATCTAACACAGGAAGAATAAAATTAAATAAGTTTCCTTTTATAGAAAGGAGTAAGATGAGAAGAAAGTTTTAAGAAGAAATTGGGTTTATGTAGGTGAACAGCATAGTGGAGGTGGGCTGACAGGATATTTCTGCTCTCCCTTTGGTTCTTTGATGACCTGCGGATCCTGGTTTGTGTATGAGTTTGGGAGTGTGGGGATAGGAGAGATGCCTGACTAAAGCTTAGACCCACTACTACAGACAGTAGATTACAAGCAACAGCGAACACTTGTGTGATGATTGAGTGATTGTGTCAATTTCAGAAGTCTGGTTAAGAGAAACAGCTAAATTGCTCAGCAATTCCATGCCCTAGGGTGTGGGAGATCCACCCTAGAATGGCTTGTCCCCTGTATATTGTAAGGGGAAATGAGGAAGGACATGGCTTTTTCTGTTCCTTTGGAGGAACTTCTGCCTCTGCCATAGACGTAATCTTCTGTCTTTCAGTGGTGACTGGCTTCCAGTGAGGATTTTTCAGCTTTCTAGCATAGACTCTTCAGCCTTCCAAACAGACCCATTGGCCTCCTGATATAAACTCAAGTTGGACATTTCAGTAAACTCCAGATCTTGGACTACATCCTTTAGTCTCCAGGGTGCAGACAGACCCTCTGGACTCTTCCTCATCTGATTCCGTGGGTGGCCACTGTAAGCCAGTCTTGTAAATTCTTATATATTTATATATCTTGTGTTATATCTATTTCTCTATTAAAAACTGATAAAATTTGGTCATTGCTTAGACTGGTGAGAGGTTTATCAGCTTTATAGATCATTTCAGAGAACCAGCTTTTGGTTCATTGACTCTATCTTTTCTGTATTTTTCATGTTATTAATCTTTGCAGTATTTTTTATTATTGGCTTTATTCTATTTGCTTT